GTCTATTATTGTTTCGTGTAATATTTTATGAAGCAATTATCAAAATGCATCGTTTATCAGAGCAAGTAGAGCAATAATATTTTTCCTTCTAACTTTTTTATCGTATAATTATTTGTTTCGCGCATTATTTCATTAATAAGTTCATCAGTAAAAAATAGTTTAAAAAATCTAATTATTCATTTATATTCGAAGATAATTGCAAATTTTTCACCGGGTACAAATTATATTCTTCGCTATATTTTCTGATTCTATGCATTTTATCCATTTGGAATTTTCTGTCTTCTGCGATATCTTCACTTGAACTATTATTTTCACACATTATTCACTATCTATTATTTTTATTTTTCGCCTTCTTATATCTCTTATTTCATCTCTATGTTCATCATTGCTTTCTTTATCGTTAATTTCTTTATGAATAGAAGTAATTTTGTCATTCAATAACGAAAAATCAAATTCATCTTCACTTAAACTAATTTCATTACTATGCTTACAAATCTCAAAAAATTTGAAAATAATATTTCTATTGCCACGATTATCAAACTCAGACTAACATCGAAAATGTCGTTCGACTTACGATCACGATTTAATTTGAGATAAAAAAATCTAGTCATTTAATATATTATTCTACACCTCGTAAGATTATAAAGAGTTTAGAAATCTATTTATGAAGCGATATTCTAAAAAAATCAAACATAAATAAATATTGTTGCCGTTCAAATTGCCGCATCAATTCAAATGGTGCCGGAGAGTCACCGCTGGAGTTACGGCATTAACTTAAGTAGTGACCGAGAGTCACCATTGGAGCACAAAGAGTTAAACATAAGTATATTAATTATCACACGATTAATCATTTAATGATCAAATCATTAAATGATAAATTGATGATTTTGGAAATATAATATAATTATATATTAAAATAGCAAGATTATAAATTAAAATAGATATATATTATAGGTAATAATCAAGATTTAAAAAAAAAAGTAAAATAATATTTACTCTAAATTTTTTACTTAAAAGTATATTCTATAATATAGCAAAATCGTAAAATAATTCAACCATTAAAATTTATAAGGATATATAGATATATAAGATATATAAATGAGAAAAAAGAATGAAATATTAGCAAAAAAAAAAAAGAATATAAAATCTTGATCAATGTATTTTAACTATATCATATTTAAAAAATTAAAAATTACAATAATTTGAAATTTAATAATTTATGATCTTGCTATATCAATGAATAATATATATTATATATTAATATATATATATTACTCATAAGAATTTTCAAAATTAAAATTCTTATAATATAACAATTAAAAAAATTACAATGTTTCTATATCTTATACATTGACTATCTTAAATTATCAATGTATACAGCTAATATATATTCCACTAACTTTTTCCTTTCTGTGAGCTCTCTGATTCTCAATTAAACAGTTCTCCTTGTTTTCTTCGAGGAACTGTATGACTTTTAATTAATTGATTCTTTTAGCATAAATATACTAACCATTATTATATATATAGTTACGTAAAACAAAATATATAAAATATGATTGTGAATAGCGAAACAATTAAAAAAGTATTATGTACTTCATATATTATGTACTTCATTAATGGAGGAAAGATTCTTGAATCATCTAAAAACAAAATTCTTTAAAAGTATAAAAGAAGACATTTTTTTACAATTTTTTGTACAAACGAAATAATCTATAGTTGACTTGTGAGCCATCAGTTGTCCAATTTCGACCATGACTATGAGATTTTAGAATTCTTATTTTTTCAAATGTCATCTCATATTTTATTATTCAATATTATTCAATTCATTATTCATTATTCATATATTATAACTTTCTATTATAAGATTTTCACATTTTTCATTAATACATAGGTCCAAATCCTAAATAAAACATGAAAAATTAATACAACACTTTATATACATATATATTATTTAAATTTATAAACATACTAGGATTTGGAGGTGGACGAAGTCTATACATATCTGGAGGAATAAATCGTGGTGGAAATGGTGTTAATGGACCAATATGCCTAGATCCTGGTACTTGACCACGCATTGGAACCCAAGGTCTAA